AATTATACTTTCCTCTTGAGCATGAACTTGGAAGTAGACGCGATTTTCTACCGAATACGTAAAAGAATGAATATTTTTATGCATTTTCTCCATGAAATTTAATTGAATTTTCAAGGACATCGAAAATCAATGAGAAAATGGCATGCTATTTAAGTAGTCATTTTTTGCCGAGTATAGATCTTGCATGCAGCCGAAAATAAGTTCTTTCGAAAGCCGACACCCCGAGGTAACTGGATCATGATAGATTTATGCTGCATCATGATTAGTTTTACAACACCACTTAATTTATCTTTTCGAAACGAGAACGCATTTCGAAATTTCGGTTGACATTTCATGAGTAAGCACATCTACTGTAAGTAGATCCAATGGAGGCGCCCTACGAATCGAACTATTGAAGACTGGAGCATGATCCACCATGTCAAAATTAATTATCTGCCGTCTTGGGTTCTTCAAATTAGGACTTGCACGACTATTTTTTTCGAAGCGATTACACGGTAAAGGCCATGAATACATTCAGAAAAACGCCGGAGATTGTATACTACGAAAGCGGAATCTGGGCAAAATTCGAAAGGTCCAACACCCTCATGGCGACAGTCATGCGATAACCATTGTCGCTGAAACTACCACACAGGATGATATTGACTACCGTCTGAGGCTCGAATCTCGGCGATGCAGAATCTGACCCTCTCGAACGACACCTTCCTCCTGGAAACCGAGAGAAAGCTGCTGGTTACGCTGCATGCACAACGGGCAGACCCGAGCTAGCATGTGCCTGGTGCAGCACGGGTTCAATGGTTATGGTGTTTTCTATAGGTGTCTTTCAAGAATGGAGGTATTAAAGACTGGCACAAAAATTTTCATCTCAAACTGAACCAGCTGGGCCTTAGTGTCCCCCCAACAGGGATTTTCTAGGAGTGCCGATCGTAGAGGACCTAGTTCGAAGCCTTGAACTGTAAAGGCCCCGAGGACATCCAGACATTTTTAAGAGACAAACTACTTCGACGCCAGAAGCCTTGAGGGATGAAACCCCGTAAGGCAGGCAGTCAGACGATGACCACCGTCACTGGAGAGATTAAACGCGATGCAGTTGATTGCTACAGACCACCAGCATAGAGTGTGGACAGTTCTGGGCAGAGGCCTAAAACGCAGCCCATCTAGTCATTTTCTTATCAAGCGCCTGTGAATTTCGTACTAATATCGACGCCAATAGGTGGGTTTCTGTTTAGTGTTAGGGTTTAGAACTGCGGTTGGTGGTTTGGGGTTTAATGTTAGGGTTAGTATATGGGAGTTAGAGTTAGGGTTTTGAGTTAAGGTTTAGGGTTCGGATTTAGAGTTAGGGTTTAGTGCTAGGGTTTTGGGTTATTATTTAGGGTTTTCCGATTTATCAGTTCGACCGCGTTTTAGACCGCTGCCAGAACTGTCTGCGATTTTAATCTGGCTGGGTTGGTAATTGAGAATTTGCGACAAACGCCGTACAAATCGCCCTAAATCCTATAGCTCACATCCTATAGAATATTTTTTACAGACACGCGCCGCCGCATCGCGACGGATAGTCAATAACAAGAAATTCATATTGACACAACTGTGAAAAACTCGGCGCCTCGGTGGGATTCGAACCCACGCAGTAAGGGGAAGGCTTTAGCGCCGCCAACGCTCTAACCTGAGCTACGAGGCCCCGCCGGACGACGCGAGTTTAATCACATTTGGGTCAAGTTACCCGCCCAACCTACTGCAACGTCTGTAATCCACCAAATCTGACACAGTAAGTTGACTGCCCAAGCAGGATTTCCTAAGTAATTCACCTGGAATCCACCAGATGACTACCAGGCTCGCGTAATTCATTGACATTTTGGCAGATTTCGAATAATTCATATTGACCCGAATGTGATTAAACTCGCGTCGTCCGGCGGGGCCTCGTAGCTCAGGTGGTTAGAGCGTTGGCTGCGCTAAAGCCTTCCCCTTACTGCGTGGGTTCGAATCCCACCGAGGCGCCGAGTTTTTCACAGTTGGGTCAATATGAATTATTCGAAATCTGCCAAAATGTCAATGAATAACAAGAAAGACTGAAAAATTTATTTCATACTCTTTTATAACCTTTGGTAGAACTGCTCATTGTTATGTGGTCACCTGCGAGGGGTGTAAAGTCGACAACGTGAAAACAGAAGGCTCAGCTACTGTAGGGGCACACCAGCCCATGGTATGCACAATTCTGACGGGCTGTGTCCATGTGAGCCCCTAACGCTTGTCTTAGATGCGTTCAACCCGCATAAGTGGAGGCTTTCACGTCTCTCCGGTCATTGCAAACAGTCTCCCCAATTTCTTCCACCACAGGAGTGATACAACGTTCATTTTAGGCAAGGGTTTCGTGTGTTCCTATAGTGGAATGAAAAAATCAAATGTAACGTTTGTGCGTCACTGAAATTTTGAAATTTTGTTGCCATTTAATTTCAGTCAAAAGGACAAAAGGGCAAATACAGTGAGGAAATGAGCCCGTTCTTAAGATTTATCCTGACGGAAATTCTAAGTAAGGATCGTGGAACTTCAAAGTGATGTTCAACAAGACGCATTCGTCTATCAACTTTACATCAGAGTTCAAAGAGGGCAAACAGTCTCATTGTACTCGAACTCATAGAATCAACGTTCCAAATGTTCATTTGTGTCAGGTAAAATTATCAGCTGAACCATAACATGGCCGTAATTGCGGACAGACGTAACAGGCTTCTGACGCAATTTGTTGAAATAATATGAAGAACGAAAGGGCATCTGGCCCGATATACTTGAATGGGTAGCAGTAGGGTAAAGGACCCCTATTAAATGGGGATCGTATGCCGATCAACTGGGCATGAAGTGAGGGATAACAGAAGGTTCTGCCGGGACAGTAGCTCATTTGTTCCCGCATGACACGATTCACAGTATACCGACAGGTTATTGAGATCCTTTACCCCACCTTTGCTGGAATATCCAGCAGGCTACCGTTTCTGCATACATTCATCATTTTACTTGTTACTTCTTACCAATAACGGGACTAGTCATTTGTGCCCTGTTTTGTCTTGCCCTACGACAAAAACTCCGTTGGTGTATGTACGTATTTTAATCACAATGACCTGTACGGATAGAGCACTAACAGGGTGTTGGAGGACACGCACCGACTGCCTTCCAGAATGACCCCTCAGAAAAAATCGCCACGCAAGAATAGTGTGCCCGTATTTCCCAGAATTCTATTTTTACTGCATACACCGGATAGTGAGGTATATTTCCACATTTGCCGAAACCGAGAGACCGTTGGCATTAATTCCACCCTCATAGCGCCGTCGTGCCAAAATCTACGTCCTCCTCAGGCTCTTCGTCCTCTGCTCTACAACCGTTAGGCAATCGCAGGATTAGTCAGCGCACAGAGGTGAATGCCTCCTTCGATTTCGAACGTGTTTTGCCAAATCAGCTCGATCAGGCTTACTGCAGACCTGCTGTCCGTTTCAAAACGCAAACACAGCATTCCACTGTCATTTTTAACGCAGGGTCTCATATGACTTAACTCGCAACTGTCGCTTGCCTATCAGTAAGGACGCGGTAAATCGTGTAGTTTGCATTGACCATTCCTAAAAGGAACGGAGTAACGCTTGGCTGCATGGAATAGGAGACTCCCTTGCCCTATTTGGCAGCAAAAGTTTGCTATTGCACCCTTTCTAACCCTCTTCAGAAACGGCAGATTGATGGACCCCAATTAGATGTGGATCGTGTGCTGATGTATATACTTGGAAATCTAGTTAAGTACCGGTGACTGGCAGTTGTAACCAAGGGTGGAGAAACAAAAAAACGCAGATCAACTGGGAATGAAGTGGAGGATAACAGAAGTGTCTGCCGGGAGGTTAGCCCTATTCGTTCCCGCATGACACGATCCACACGACAGGTTATAGAGATGCTTAACCCTACCTTTGCTGGAATATCCAGCTGGCTACCGTTTCTGCATACATTCATCATTTTAATCGACAGGATCGTTTTTGCCCCGACCGTCTTCTGCATTTTCCCACATTCAGTTCGCTTACTGTCCGGTGTGCTGCCACACCCCCTAACCCCCCCCGCCCCATTACCATTATTCCCGCACAACATGATTCACGGTCTACTGACAGGTTATTGGTGTCCTTTACCCTATCGTTGCCTTCTGCTCTCGATAATCGATTCGAGCGTGAATTGGAGTATTTACCAGAAAAGACACGGGGGATTCTGGGGAACACCCTGACAGCTGCGCCATGCAGCGGCAAAACATAGGCGAAACACGCGTGTATGGGCATTTGGCTAGTACCTGTGCTGTTAGTATGGTATCACCTTTCCCTAACAGACGTCAGACAAAAAAGCATTCTTGTTCCAATGATAATTTCCACTTCCTGAAATGGGATACATAGGGCAAAATGCTTCCGAAATTCAAAAGGTGTCTCCACTATCAGTCGATGTCCTTGCAGTTGTCGGTTGTCAGAAGATTGATTTTCATCATAAACTAGTGCCACTGCTTTCGGTCAACGTCCTCGCATTGTGACCTTGTCCGTAGGCCGATCGGAAAACTTAATGCATAAACAGTTCTCGTTGATTTTGCACACTTGCCTAGATCTGTACTGGATAAGGTGTTATGAATTGCCACCCCTCTTGACCGGTACATAATTGCAAAAAAGTCTTGCCCATATGTTAAATTACAACTTAAATCTGCAAGGTAACTTCAGCTTTCTTGCTGAAAATATCTAAAACCGATTAGAGGAAGAAAATGTTCTCACTTGAAATCAAATAAAACCGAAGTCACAGTTTGTTCTTCCATTCAAATATGCATCGGCTAGATTGGCGCTGAAATTAGGTTTCCCTTGACCTCATTATTTCGATACGTTCTGAAGCCAATAAAATGAAGGAGGTTCCCTCCGTGGGGACCAACTAAAAATAAGACATATTTGGTTATTTCATCCAAATCATAACAAATGCATCGGCTAGATAGGTGTTGGAACTGGATTTCTCGCTGATCAATTCATTTGCATATGTTCTGAAGAACAGCGAAACCTTGCATAGACTGATGGATCAAAATCGGGGGCAGGACCTTGGTAGGTCCGATTGGCGATTGCAAACTCCAGACAGCTGTAACCCTCGGGATAGTAGTCCTCGTGAAATTTGTTCGCGAAGAGCTCTGGGGCTCTGATTAGGTCTGGCAGACTCTGAGATCCTAAAATGCATATCCAGCGGACGTACTTTGTAGGACAAGGTCTATAAGACCATATTTTATAGCGCAGAATGTCTTCTTCTCGTTCAAAGTCTTGGTCCACCCTGCCATTTTTGTAGAGCCCTGGACAAGCTCCAGGGGCACCAAGCTGTGGATTGTAGACAAGCGTTCCATAGAACTGTTCATCAGGATGCCGGTGGTAGGAATAATTGATCAGCATGTCACGGACTTCGAGCGCTCTCTTGTCGTTCAGCATGAATTCAACGAATTCCCTCGAAAGTGCAACGTGGATTGCGTTCTTGAGCCATATTACCTAAAAGTATAAGCGGAGAGTCAGTAGTATAATAAAGAACAACTGCAAGGGAATTAAAACATTAAAACAAACACTAAACGTTGTGTAGAAGTACCATTTTTTCAGAAAGTCTGAAAATTCTGAGAATGTCAGTTTTCTATATGCAGAATACCTGTCCGTGCAAAACACCAAGTAAATATGACCGCAAAAAGAATAACGTCTAGACATACTTTTAGTAATTTTTTGTTTATTGAATTAAGTCGAGGCACAGAAAGTCTTTTGCCAGAGAAGAATTTATTTTGGACCTGTTTAATGGAACGGAAACAGGCCAGAATTAGACAAGACCGGACGTTTCCTCATATCCAAGTAATTTTCCAGGTTGCTTAGTGCCACCTGCCAAACTTTATTATTCCTTCCACGTTGTGCCATAAGGGAACATTAATATAAGCAAGAATATGTTCAAGTGAATCCCATCAAGGAACGAAAAGTGGGATTTTAGGTTCATGAAATCGTATTATTTGCAAAGACCATTGAACGTGGACTGCGTTTTGGAGCCATATTAATTGAAAGTATAAACGAAGGAACATTAAATACTTATATAAGCTTTGGTAAAACGAAGAGACACTTTTGATCAAACTAAAATTCACATTTTGGCGAAAGACAGAGCAACCAAGGTTAAATGACGTAGACGAGCTCCGAAAAAACGCAGCTGCATTTGATGCTTCGGCTATGGTGAGCCCGTATATATTTGACATATGACATATGTGATATTTGTATATATCCGACACCGTGGCAACTATCAAGGGAAATGGAACGAGCATAGCTGTAAATGATAGATTGGCCTACGAAACGACTGTACCCTCCACACTATCAGGCCATAGTTAACTCAACAAGTAGACAATTGGAAAGATAGTGCAGGTTAAGTCTCGAAAAATGGCCGATTTTCAAAAGATTCACGCAGGTATTTGTACTCTGTAGGAATACTATGTCCGAAATTTTGAAAACATCCGATTTCAGATTGGGAATGTTGAGAGAACTGAGTTCTTTTGAAGAAGAAGAAGAAAAAGAAGAAGATGGGCTCACCGGAATAGGTTTACTTAAATGCTGACGTTTCAAAGAACTCGGTCGATTGTCCATTGCCAAAGCGTGAAATGCACTTAGTCGACCGAATTGTCAGTTCTTACATCTGCCGGCTGCGCGATTTTACGAAAAAAGACTAATCGGTCAGACTGAGTCTGGTCATCGCCGAGATCTAATGAAGCTATTAGGACGGAGACACATGCAGGCCACACAAGTCGCACCTGTGGGCATAGAGGTACTTAATGCAGTCCTCACAGCGGCCATGTCCGAATGCCGACCAGCGTGCCATCCGCAAGTAATCTGGCAAGCGGGTAGACTTAGAGCTCAAAGGAACTGTTTAAATTAAAGCGACCAGGTGGGTCAAAGTCCCTCCCGAACCGGCCATCTGATAGATGCGCTGAACCAACACAGGGGCCATATCGGATTTTGGCAGGCGTCATCGGAACGCACGCCATAACAGATGCCAACATTTAGGGAGTGCGATGTCAGACCCCGTCGCCGGCAGTGGTCCAGCACACTAGGACCCCTGCCGCCCCCAGTGTTGTTGTTGGTTAAAGTCCTGATCATTTGTAGTCTGGAGCAGGAGGTGTGGAGTGGAGCGCCAAGATGCGGATTCGGTCGTGCAATCCACCTGCGCCCCCTTCCCCTTTCTGGTCTTCTTGACTCTGTCTTGACACTGGGTCCAGGTGGGGGAGGAGGAGAGTGCGGTAGATGATGAGCAAGTCTAATATCTCTATAAATTAATCCACACGCAAGTCGCCGTACCTGTTTCACCTTGGTGTGCAGTGCATGGTGGACATCGTCGACAAGGACGGTCGAAGTAGATGGATCGAAATTTGAACGCCTTATGCCCTAAGTTTCTTCAAACTCTGGCCGAACTCCTTTCGGGATGTGTCAGACTAAAACCTGTCGAGAGTAAATTTAAGTTAAACTTCAGTCGTTTAGGGCAACATGAAAATCTGTCACCGGGAAAATCTTCCTATCGATGCTGGGAGGGGCTGGGATGTGGTTGATGCATAATCACGGTTTTGTATCATAGGACACAGTATGATTAAAGATGTCATGAAATAGCCTCATTTAATAGATCACACTACTTACTGGGAATGATGATCTACGTCTGGGTAGTCGCCATTTGAAACGGTGTTTTAATGTGGTCTCAACGATGTTGGAGCCATTCAGCATTTTGAGTGCCAGAACTAATTCCAAGTTTGTCTTCAGAGGCAATTCCTGGCCTGTCAGATTTATGAAATACCTCCACTTCCCCATTTGCAGGAGGATTCGCGCGGCAACGAATTCCTGCTCTAGGACCGTGTAATCTCCCCAGACAACGCTCACGCTTTCAGTTCGAGGAACTACACCAACATTGGAACCGAAGCATTTTGCGATTTCTTGGACTGCGTCATAGAACTCCTGTGGTGACTTTCTATCCACGTGAATGACGTAGAAGTTTTGTGGCCGATATATGAGACGTAGCAGACGCGCCACCTGATTGATGCTTTTGTAGACATTGAGGATAAAACCGAGAGGAAAATCGCTCTCTTCGGCTGTGATCGGCACTTCGGTGGGGAAGAGATCTCGCTTGAATGCCTCGCAGAGTTTGCCGGAGGCCTTGTTAAGGGACAGGAAGTACTGCATACTGTGCAACGGCGTCAAGTGTTTGAACTCGTTATGATCCTTGGACGCGTTGTTGGAGAAGAGGAACGCGCAACGTCTCGCCTTACTCTCCTCCGTGAAACTATGTATAGATGTTGTTTTGGTTGCATGAGACCAGGAATTCCAAAAAATGACAATTATAAACAAAGTGCAGCAGACGGTAATCATGAAATTCCTAGCTCCTCTGATCGCCATCCGACGTCAACGCGTGCCCTCCGCCTTGTTATGAGTCGTGTAAAACAATTAACGCCCACTTTTAAGTTTTTTTTGAAATTTATGTGCTGGGACCTAGTACGTCGGTTGAGTTCGATTGGCTACTTCTTCAACAGGTAGATTGCCTGATCTGCACGAGAACCGCACGACATTTTCTTCAACTGGGACAATAAATACCTTTCGGATAGTCTTCAATTTTACTCGATACTACGGTAGCTGCAGCGCATTTTCACATCCATTGTTTATTCTGCGTAGCTACCACAGTTTCTCGTCAGGCTTGGGCGTTAATATAGTGCAGTTAGTAGTTAATAGTGGATAGACTCTTGCTTGTCTCCTAGTTGATCATAGCTCCGTCAGTCAAAGTCGTATGCCTGCTACACGCTGATTTTAGAAAAGCTCCCCAGAAAGTATTGCTGATGCGGGCGATGAAACGTGTCACTGTAAGCTTCAGACTATCGTATAGCCCTTTGTATATATTTTGCAGAAGCTTCGTAATGCCGATCTGAAGGTCTTTTTCCTTTCTCAAACCGCGATTCGTTTTAACAACTGCATTTCCATGTACATTTAATGAACGGACGTGAGCACGCGGCCGACGACTTGTATTTCTTTGGGGTTTAAGTCTTCACGAATCTAGTGGAAGCAATGTGATAACGTAAAAACACTTTTCCTTCACTTTAAGCGCATCTGTGCACATGATTTAAAACACCCGCGACAAATATTGTTACCTAATAACTCGCGTTTAAGCAACAATCCGTTTCGATCGAAAGTATTTCTTAAATTTCCACCGAATACATTCACAGCCTTAATTGCCTTGATGCGTTTAGTTAGAGATCGTACTGTTTTACGTAAGTAACTAACCGTTGTTCTTGATCTCAAGTGGGAAAACTCTAAGGAATATAAACGGGACAACCGAATCGTTTTCCAAACAACTCAAACCTTGTTATTTCGCACGCAAGGGCAAGGCGAAGCCTCAGAGTCCTGAATTTAGGTAAATTAAAATGGGTGTATTTCCTTACTTTAAAATCGTCATAACAAATTGCGAGCCATTGTGTTTTTTGATTATAAAAGTGACTTTGATTCAGAAAACTGACATTAATCCCACATTTGTTACCAGCAGATTATCAGAATGCGGTAAAGATCAATGTTGCACCGTAGTTTTGCTTAGTAGATAATGCGTTCATGTCGAAGAAGGGTACATCACGCGAAACCTGATGACAGCAACTGACATGAGGGTTTTCAGACGCCTTAAACGTTACCCATTTTGCACGATCGTCGAGGGCTTTCAAATAAATGCGCAGGAATTGTGTCCACGCAATTGCTCCAAACAAAGTATTCATAAATGTGAGCGGAAATGTGCGTTGTGATATATCCGGGCAATTTCCTATGCTAACACCTATCCTAATCTTCGGTTACGAATCCGAGCGTGTTTTTCTTTGAGAGAACATTAATGTTCCGTCAAGGGTTCTGCGAAACGGGACTTGCCGCAGTTGAAAATTGATTTTTGTGAGATGCTAATCGTGGGAATCAGTTTGCTAACACACAAGTTACTACTAGGGAATCAGGCGCTCTTTCGAGTTCAGAAGCCAAATCGGCAGATCTGTACGGTTTCGTGATGCAAGGTTCAGTAATAACGTACACAAGCTATCTTTCGTTTAAATGCGCCGAAATCGTTTTGCTCTTTGGAAAATTATACGGGTTGACGCAGAAATGACTACAACGGAAGAGTCACTTTCAGATTCCAGCATACGGCACATTACTTTTCGTGCGGTCTAGCTTCTACACATACGTAATTTAAAAACTGGAACGAGCAAAACATCAACAGTTCCAGTAAAATGTCATTCTGTCTATGGGCACCCTGCCGTACATTCATATTCATAGAGCGGAGTCCAACAGTGAACGAAGATAGTAAAAACGGCCGCAATATGAGAAGAAAGGCGTGTTCTTCCGTTTGCGGTAGAAAAATGACGATATTTTCTTTTAGCATTATGAAAGTGACGACCAAAAGTGTCAATTTTTCTTCGTTTGGTCGTGCAAAAGTATAAGGTATACAGACATTCTTCAAAGAAATGCAATATTAATGCACTACCTAAAAAGGTAGCTTACAAGAAAAGGTTTTCTAAGCGGGCGAAAGCATATTCGTTATTGCCTTTTGTTGCGGGCAATCATTTTATGTGGCAATGTGGTTTCACGCTGAAGCGAGTGGTCAGATGTGGTTATGTAGTCCCAGCTGAAGTAAACAAACTTCAGCCACCAGTAATACAGGACTGGTGGTAATAGGGATTTTTGCAGGTGAGGCCGGGGAACGCACAGGTGATGAGGTCAAGTAGTTTTATACAATACTAAAAGCTATTGAGAATGCGCGGTTGTATTTTGAGTGGTACAGAAATAGTTGACTTAACCCCTAACCCTAACCTCAATCCCTAGCCGTAACCCCTAACCTCACCTCCAACAGTAATGTGTCCATCAGATGGGGATACACAACCACATCTTGCCGACTGAATCTTCACATATGATCCAAATGACCATCTTCATAAGAAGAACGTCCATGCACTCACTAATGCGGTCAGGGCCAGCAAACCGCACATTATTTTGGATGTTTTAATAAACACATAATTCTGAAACTTCCTTTGTGGGTAATCGATTGAAAACACTGAAAATCATAAAGTATTTGGAGATATTTCAAGGCTGATCTGAATCTCAGCATAATCCAAAACAAGGGAACGTTTTAATTTAACGAGATAAAAGTTCTCAATATATGCACAAAATGGTGTGTTTAAGATTTTATTTGTCAAGCCTATTTAAATAAGATAGTTCCTATGACGTTTCTATCGGCGAGATCAAGCAAAATCCCGCTTGTTTGTTGTAAGGACCGTCGTCAGCAACTGCCGACGTGGGTAAAGTTTCATTTCAAGAAGACTTACCCGTCGCATCGTGATAGTTTAAAGGCGCGTCGAACTATTTATACTGAAGAACGTGGTCTGAAGTGCTGTAGAGGAGGATTACCCAAATTCGATCTCTCTCTCTCCCGGGCACCAGTTTGTTGTCAGAGCCGGTTACTTACTGGTGCGGAGAGTTTCCGAAAATTGTTGAAAAATTAATAGCCCATCTGCGCGGGTTCCACACTAGCTGGCGCTCCATACAACATAAACGTTTTTTCACACGAAGGGACGGGCTGTTCGGACCTCACATGTCTTATTATGCCATAGAGCCTAGACAAAGTAATGATTGGAGGTCCAGCCCACGATTTACGTGAAAGTTACCTATTCCATGCATGTGGTGGATGATTTGGGGCGGGTTTGTGCGAGGTATGCGTTGGCGGGGAGATGTGTGGTGATGGGATTTGGTCTGCGTTGGTTTATTGAGGAGACTCATAGAGGCGCACAGGGTCGAGTTGGTCAACAGACGAGGACTGAATAAGTGTGAACATCACGGGTAGGTGGGTAGGAAGGGGGGGCGGGGGGTCTACATTGAGGATTCAGGCACTCCTTCGGAGTTTCACTTCGGTGGATTTGGAAGTGACCAGTCCGGTCGATGAGTGATGTTAAGTGGCTGTCGCGACGAGACGGATAGTGATCAAGACCGCGATGCTGGTCGTGGTTAACAGGACGGCAGGTGTTTTCGGAGCGGTTGTGGGGGTTGGGGCGGGGTGTGGTTTGGCGTCGCCGCGGGTGTCGTGGTAGCAATGATGGGAATGGTAGGTGGTGGCGATTGTACATCGGGCATGTGCTTACCGACTGTGGTCTTGGTTGCCGTCACCATCGTAGGCATGAACGTCGCGGAGTTTTCGACGGGTGTGACGGTGGTGGCGTTTGCGGAGGCAGTAGGTGGTGTTCTCGAGTGCTTATTGCATTGGTTCTGAAGATGTTCGACGAGGCCGAACCATGTGCGGAACACGATGGGAATTGTTAGGGTAAAGGCTCTTAAGACTTTCGAGCAGCTCTTTTGGTTTTTGACACCAGTTACCCAGTGGACTTCGAAGACTGCCATTCCAGTCTTAACGACTGTTTTGAAAGCCGGTCGAACTTTGGGCGTAAATCTTCCTGGTCTCCGAGTTGACATAGATATCTGAGGGAAATTTAAAGACTGTCATTGTAACGTGTTTTCTGTCCTTTATGCCGAAAAACACCTATTGCAACGTTGTAACATAGCCACTTTGGTAGGCGCTCGTCATACACCCTCAGAAAGTGACCAGTCAATCATAATTGCATTTGATTTAACATAGGGGGATGCAGAAGATGGCAGTTCGTCTCAGGACTTCCGTGGCTGGTACTCTGACCTGCCAATTTGGCTAGCATTTTCCGGACACAACTAAAGTTAAAGTGATTGAGCGTGGCCGCTTGGTTCTCGTCCACTTTCAGCTTTCTTTCGTGTACCGCAGCGTTGATAGGATGATGGCTCGACAAATGTTGAGTTTATTGTTGGGATTAAGTCCACGGAGATTCGACAGCGAGTCCTATGGTTGGTCGAAGGTTTAGTTTTCTTTGGATATCCAGTTGATTTTTTCTTGGTTGATCGTGACATTCCTTGAAATTGTGGTTTCAAAGTATACCAGCTTGTCCGCTGATGCCATGAGGGTTCCGTTGACGTTTATATGCGGTTCATTGTGCTCAGCGTAGGACGCCCGTTGGATACCACCGGCAACGCTTCCGGGCGGCGGATATTCAGCAGTTCCGTCCGTTCGTTGGTTGATGTCCATTCCCGGCTGCTTCTCAAAGTAAGCGTCCATCAGCATGCAGACATCAGGATATTGAATGCTTAGTGAACTAGGT